TTTGGGGAGGACTGAAGGTGCCTGCCCGGCTTTTTTCCCCTCCTTGGGGATCCTGAGGCACCGCCGCGGCGGGGCTGTGGCGTGGCTTCTGGACGAGCCAGGCCGGTGGAACCTTTTTTGGGATTTAGGGCTTAGGGTTTAGGGTTTAGGGTTTAGGGCTTAGGGTGTGCCGAGCCTGACGCGCGGCTGCCTGCTGCCCGCCCGACCCTCCCGGTGTTCGTTGTGTAATCAATTCTTCTTTTTTCTTCTTCTTACCCACCCCTTAGCTATCCTACACGCTGACTGACAGTCACAAGCAAGACGACGCGCAGACGGCCAAAAAAAAAGTTGGGAAAGAAGCGTGCGAAGGTAAGTTGTATGCGGTAGGATACAACTTAACTTGCACGCTGGAAAAGGCTGCGGTTGGTTGCTGCCACACAGTCCAGGCCGGCTCAATTGGTGCAACAGGGCTCATGCAAGCCTAGCGCGTAGGGGATGCACACGCACACAGCTACTCTTGGACGATGCAGCGAGAGCAAGTGCGAGCGAGCTTCGTTTTCTGACTGCAAAGGAAGAGGCGGATCCCAAGAAAAGTTTCGGGCTCAGGTGGCCGGGGTGAAGTGCGCAGGCTCCAGGATGCCGCCCAAGAGGTAGGCGTCGTCCGTGCCGACGCGGCTGATCGCGACGTACCCGGCAGCACGAAAATGCCTCGCATCCAGCCAGACCGTGATGTGCTTCAGCTCCGCACCCTGGAGTTTGTGGACCGTGCTGGCGTAGCCGGCCCGCACAGGATATGCGGTCACCGTGCCACAGTCTTCGACGTATTCTGTGACGGGGTAGACGGCAAGGTGCTTGCCGGTGTCCGTCAGCACGCGCAGACAGCCAGAAGGGCCGTGGAAGGACTGCACGACCGCGGCCATGCCATTGACGAAGTCGCCGGGCTTGTCAAGGTTCTTGGTCAGGTGCACCTTGAGGCCCTTGTAGAGGTCGAGGGTCTGGGGCCGCGGCGGGCGACCGGGCTTGAGCTTGCCGTCCAGCAGGTAGTTGTCGACGTTGGCTTCCCAGTCGGCCCCCACGGTGCCGAGACACGTCTGCCCGCGGTCGGCGAACAGGACTTGTGTGCAGAGCCGGTTCACCAGGGCCGCGGCCCGACGGGTGCAGGTGGCCACAACAGTGTCGGGGTGCTGGCGAAGGAGCTGCAGGATATCATAGGCGTCGGGCGTGTGCTTGTGGCTCCAGGCCTTGTGCCCGCGGCAGATGTCGCGCAACTGTTGCTCCGTGGGTTGGTTCAAGCGGAGCAGCCGGAGCTTCGCCATCAGTGCGGCGTCCTTGCAACGCCACATCTGATGCAGGGAGACTTTGTAGACGCGACGCCACCGGGCACTGTCTTTGGCGTTCGTGGGTTCCACGCCGGGGAGCTGGTGAAAGTCGCCGATGAAGACGAGGGCGGGCACCCGACTCGCCGCGTCCCACAGCTTGAGGATGCGGTTGAAGTCGTGCCTGGACAGCTGCGAAATCTCGTCCACGACCACCAGGTCGTAGGTTGTGAGCAAGTCCAGCAGGTGCACCGCTTCCCGGGAGGACTGCCAGAGGCCGAAGGCGCCAGAGCATGTGTCCACGTCGCAATCCGGGAAGCGACCCCGCACTCGAGCCGCCTGCTGGGCGGTGGGCAGGGCATAGAGGACCCGGCCACCCCGCAGCCGCGTCCGCCGCACGCAGGCATCGATGGCAGTGGTCTTCCCGGTGCCGGGCGGGCCCAGGCCCGCGATGACGAGGCCATGTGTCCAGGCGTCCAGTCGCTTCTCCTCAGCGCGTGCATCATCCTCTTCCGAACGGTGGGCAAGCGAGCGGTCGACTGCCTCGTTGACCTTGCCCTGTAGGTTCTTTTGCTCCAGATTCCATTGCATCGCTTCCTCCACGCCGCCGTCGTCCAGGAGACCCCCTCGCCGGAGCGCGGCGCGTTCCTCCGCCGGCGTCGCCAGCCGCAAGCCTCCATGGACACACTGATCGATCAGGTACAGGTTGGCCCGGAGCATGGACAGCAAGGTGTCGATCTTGGCCTCGCTCATGGACTGCAGCTGCAGATCTCGCCGGACGGCGTCTGCGTCGGACCAGTAGTCGGGGCGACGTTTCCAGGCGTTCGCCAAGAAGAGGTATGCGCCCGGGACCACATCGACAAGGCCTGCGTCGAGAAGCTCTTCGTGGCGACGAAAGGGGACGTGCAATGTCAGCCACTGTCCGAAGAACTTGTCGTTGGACATGGCAAGCATGTCGGTGGCGATAAGCTTCTCGCCATTCATGACACAGGTTTGCGCAAACTCCTGCAGCGTCTGCGTCGTCTGCTGCAGGGCCAGGAGCCGCTTGTGGCGCAGCTGAACCCACCGGGCGATCTTGCCATCGGCCCCGGACTTGCGCATCCATTCGAGGAAGGTCATGTCATCTCCCCGCCAAGGCGATTTCTCGTAGAGATCGATCAGGTTGCTTTTCTCCGCGCCAGGGGTGGGCAGGGGCACGCGAAGTGGCACCATCGTGCCGCTGTACTGACACGGAGGAGCCAGCCGACCGCCGATGTAGAGCCACATCTCCGGCTCGCAGGGATGGTACTCGAAAAGCACCTTGCGCGCGACCGCGTTGCCCGAGATGTCGTCGCAGAGCCAGTCCTGCGCGAAGGAGTCGCTGAACTTGGCGTTGTAAGTGGCGCAGTACTTCATGCTGTTGGCGCGGCGGTCGCAGTGCAGGACGTCCTGGTGGCACTTCGTGATTTCGAGCGTCTCCTTGAAGAAGGCGCGATGGCCAGCGGCCTTGTCCTCCTCCGTGTGGTGGAGGCGCACACGGTCCAGCTCCGCGTCCCACCGGTTCTCGCCCAGCTCCACCGGCCAGCCGCTGTCGTCGCGGCCGTGCGGGCGCCCGAGCATGTAGCCCTTCAGCGCCGGCGGGCCGTCCTCCGGCACGGTGGCCAGCATCTGCTCCGCCAGCCTCGCGCGGCTGAAATGACTTCCGAAGTTCAGGCTGTGGCAGTGGACGCGCCCGCTGCCGTGGTACCTCTGGCTTGGCAGCTTCCGCTGTCCATCCTGAAACTCGAGGCGAAAGAAAAAGTTCACCGGAGGCTGCTGGTGGGGGGCCGCCCTCGCGTCCGCTAAGATGTGGTCGGACCAGCCAGGGTGCTTCCTCTCCTCGGTCGCATTGACCTTCACGGGCGCGTTGTGGCCGGTGTACAACCCCGTCTCTAGCTGGGCAAAGACGTGGGCGGCGTGGAGCGTCTCCGGGCCTGCCAAGCCCATGCGGCCCACGCGGGACCGACGCATCTCGTCGAGAACCCAGGCATGGTATGGAAAAGACCATTCCCATGGAGCCATGGTCTTGAAGAGAACGGGGAACCCGCATTGCCGCTGCATGTCCAGCAGCGCCTGGTGGCGCGATTTCCAATACAGTGGGGAGAAGGACTCGCTCTGCAGCGCCAAGCGGATCGGCAGGCCCTTGGAAATGCTTTTGCTTGCCCCGAGCTTGGACCAGAGCAGCAGGTCGTACACAAAGCTGAGGAGCTCGAAGTCGTTGGCGTAGCCGATGATCGGCCCCAAGACTTTCCGCATGAAGGAGGCCTTGATGCTCGTCCGACCGCTCTGGATGTGCTCGTCGCTGGCCTCCTCGTCGTGCATCTCCAGGAATGTCCGCTTCCGGCCACGACTGGCTGTGCGGCCCACGGCCTCCGCCTCGTCCCGTTCTTCCTCGCGCCGGAGACGCCGGACGTCGGTGAGGCGAACGTGGGTCTCGGTCATGTCGTTGCGCCAGTAGAGATGTGGCCAGAGGCAACATTCGATGCCCTCGTTCTCGATGAAGGAGAGCAAGCGACGACGTTCCCGCTCGGTCGCCGCCGGGTGCTTGCGCAGAAAGCGGCGATGGGCCGCCACGTACTCAGCGTAGCTGGATTCCTCACTGGCCATGAGATAGGCGAAGGCCGTCCGGGCGCGGCGGCGATGCCGCTTTCCGGCCAGCCCGGCGATCTTGGTCTCGACGTCCAGCTCTGCCCAAGCGAACTTGATCATGCTCGTGTGCACGCGGTAGCCGAAGTTCGCGTGCTTCACGGGTCCGACGCACACGTCCAGAGGGCGAAGAGCCAGGACCTCCGTGCGAGACAAGTTTCGAAGAGGCTCGGGGACGTCGTCCGGCTGCGGCACGGACGCGTGCTTGGAGCATGCGCGGCACGCCCGCGCGGTGATGAAAGGCTTGGCGACCCGGCGACAATCAACGGGGTGTAGTGGCCGCGGTAGTAGACTGTGGCAAGTGGAACACATGCCCCAGGAGCCAAACTTGCACCACCTCTCCACGAAGCCGGCCCTCGCACTCGTCACGGCTGCGGGCAACCCAGCATCGTTCGGAGCGATGTCCGCCGACTCGGGCGCCGGGATGTCGTTGTCCTGGAAAAACTTCTTGCGCGGCCGTCGCCGGTCCCTGCGGACGAGGGCTAGGTACTCGGACTCCTCCATCTCGCTGCTGCCAGCCAAGCGGCGGTTCAGGAGGGCCCGTTGCCATGCCAGCGGGTTCGAAGTCGGCGGGTCGTCCCGAGCACTCGACTGAGGCATGGAGGACCGCCATTCCTGCGGGACCCGCAGAAGGGCTGCAGCGTGAACGCAGCCCTCGCGCTGCTGCAGAAACGCACGCATGGCCGGCAGAAGGCGGCTGGAGCGGAGCTTCGCGTTTGCGGCTGCGTGCGCCATCTTCGCGGAGTCGCAGAAGAGGCAGCGCTCACCACGACGCCGCGCCAACGCTGGCTGGCCGGCTGCCGTCTGCGAGTACATGCACGGCGGACCATCCGGAAGGCCGGGACACGGCGGAGGCGGCATGGCGTGAACTGCTAGGACTGCTAGGACCTTCGAGAAATTAGCAACAGGAACACTCAGAGCCAGCGCGGGTCACGGCGACAGGGTACGAGTCCATACATATATGTATACACTGATACTATACGTTTCAACGTGTCAGAAGAGCAACACACACACCCTCCACCAGTCAGGCATGGCGCAACTTTACTGATGGCGGTCACTCGCGGGATGCAGCGCACTCATGCCAAGCAAGGCCGTCTCGGCAGCGCGGGCGGGCCTGTGCTTGCCCGCCACGGCGTATGCCGCGCAGTCAAAACTAGTCACCGCGTGGCGCTGTGGCCACAGCAGGTCACGGCTGCTTCTTTTGCGCCTTGGCGAGCTCGAGAACGAAGCCTGCAGCGGCATGGGCCACGCGGGGGCTTACAAATACATTCAACGCGATACACAAGCAAGTGCCCAGGGCCTGGCGGTCCGACGTAAGAGAAAATGTCCAGCGGCGGCATGTCCGGTAGGATCTCCCGCAGCGTGGCTCCATCAGGCGGGAAAAGCGCCGTGAAGTGGTAGTCGGCGAGCTTCAGGATGTAAGGGATCATGTTGTCCAAGGAAGCGTTCTGGCCGGCCCACACCTTCGTCATCGCCGGGCTGCCCGTGGTAAGGACGAAGACCACGGCGTTGGGATCAACGGCCGTCACGAAGTCGACATAGTCGTCGTACATCGCTTCGCCGACGGTGCATTCGTTCTTTTGCAAGCGGTTCTTGCGTGCCTCGGGCAGGTTCGTCACCCACGCGGAAGCCCAGGAGTGCACCGCAGCCCGATCCGCATCCGGACCGACGACGGCCCGTCCCAAGGCCAATGCCAGACAGCAGTTGCCATAGCGAGCGCCGGCCACCTCGAGCTCTTGTCCCTCGTCCATCGCACGCAGGCGCTGGAGTACCGCCGGCTCGGCCGCCTGCTTTTTCTCCTTGGGCGGGGAACCTTTGTCGGATGCGGAGCGGCTCTTCTTCGTCTTCTTCGCCTTCTTTTCCTTCTTGTCCTTGGCGTGCTTCTTGACCTTCTTCGGTGCGGTCGTGGAGGAGGAGGAAGATGACGAACTTCGGGCCTTCTTCGCCTTGGGAGCGGCGCGCTTGCCCGAGCCCGAGCCCGATGTGCTGGCCTCGCCGAATTTGCGACGCTGATTCTTCTTGCCGCCCCAGTAGTAGCCAGATTCGTAGGCCGCTGCTGTGGCATGGGACATGACGTCGAGACTCGGGCTGCGGACAAACTTCTGCACTCCGGCCGGCTGCTGCTCGATGTGAGGAACCGACTTGGCCCAGAAGGACTGGCGGCCCACGAGCGCCTTCACCTCCAGGGCAGCCACGGCCATCGACCACAAGCGGGAGGACGCATCGGCTACAGCCACCAGCGCTCGTCCCAGTGGATCCTTGCCGTCCGAGGGGCCGTCAAAAGTCTCCAGGATCACCTTCGTTGCCGCGGCCACCTCTGCCGTCGATTTCTCATTGCCTTTCTGTGCGTTCGCGACGGCCGCCTGGAACTTTGCGTCGGTCAGGGTCTTCTTCAGCACATCCGTGCCGATCTCCTTTGTCTCCGGCAGGACCTTGAGGACGTCGATGCCGGCATCCAAGCACGCGCACAAGAGGTTGACCCCCATGGGTGGCCGATTGACCAGCTCGCAGGTCTCCGCGGATAGTTTTTCATGGAAGAGCTTAGGGGAGAAGGTCTTGCGAAGGCTGGCCTCGGAGGAAGCAACAACGCAACCCGTGGCGTCAGGGTAGCTGCGAAGCAGGGTGCGCATGGAGCGCCGCCAGTGTGGACAGGCTTTCAGGCGATCGTCCTTCTTGACGCCCTTCCGCTTCGAAGCCTTGACCTCAGTCGACGAGGAGCGATTGCGTCTCTTGCCGAAGCCCATGTCGTTGACGAAGTTGCAGGGGATGTGCCTCGAAGTGAGTATCTACGAACACTACGGATATGAAAGCTAGAGCCGAAAAGCACGCGCGCGCACACGTGTACACAAGTCAAGTCTTCGTGGCTCCCCCACGGAACGTCATGCTTGCACTGAGAGCTTCGGGTGACGTGACCAGTGTCATACTTGCACTGATTGTAGCGGATGACAGCTGGCTGCCAGCTCGTCGCTCGTTTTTTTCTCGACGAAGTTTCGCGAGAGTCGAACCATATGCTCCTACTCACTCCAAGTAACTATTCCCCTGTAGCCGGAGACGCTCAAATGAAGCATCGTTGGAGAGGTCGTCTCACCTGAGCATGCGCATGAACAGGAACAACGTGTCCATCATCGGCTCGTGTAGCTTGTAAGTGTCAAAACCAAAAGCAGCAAAATTACCCAGGCCTGGGCCCCCCCCGAGCCGTCAGCGCCACCTGACGGTCTCGGAGGGGTTCCTACCCTTCTCGGACCTTAGTGTGGACGACGTCGCGAAGCACGGGCTGGCAAGTTCCCGCCTCCACGCGTCTTCCGTTACCTTATAGGGTTAAGCAAAAAAGCCCAAAAACACGAAAAAAGACTTAGCCAAAAACGCGCGGTGACCGAGTTTTTTCGTAAAATGCCGTGTGAGCTCCGAGCGGCAGGTAGCAAAACACAAGGCGGGGGCGTGCCGCGCACAAACCTGAAAAATCGACCCCGTGGGGCTGGGCCTCATTGCTTCCGACGAAATCAGCCAAAATGATGCCGTCGCATCTTCGTTTTCTTGCAAAAACCAGGCATTTTCGAGTGTTTTCGAAAGCGGGAATCAAGGCTGCTGTAGGCAAACCTCTCTGAATCCCCGCCGTCCGGGGGTGTCCGGGGGAGTCCGGGGGGCCCCCCCGGACGCTGTCCCGCTCCACGTCCCGGGGCGTCCCGGGGCACCCCCTGGACAAGCGCCCCGGACGCCCCCGGACGCCTCCGGACGCCCCCGGACACCCCCGGACGCCCCGGGACGCCCCCGGACGCCCCGACGGGACGAAATTGACTTCGGATGGGGGCGAGGTGTCCGTTTTAAAGGCCCGGACCCCCCCGAAATTAAGCAGTGAAAAACTCTGAAAAACCTTGAAGAACCATGAAAAACTTGAAATCCTGGGGAAGGCTCGGTCTTGGTCCAAAATCCCGGACGCCCCGACGGGACGAATTTGACTTCGGATAGGGGCGAGGTGTCCGTTTTAAAGGCCCGGACCCTTCCGAAATTAAGCATTGAAAAACTCTGAAAAACCTTGAAGAACCATGAAAAACTTGAAATCCTGGGGAAGGCTCGGTCTTGGTCCAAAATCCAGGAAACGAGAGCCCACCCAGAACCGTCCATGTCGGTACTAAAAAATCGCATTTTTAACTGGGGTCCGGGCCGATCCTGGGGCCCCCCTCATTTGGGGTGGTTTTGGAGGCAAACTTTCCCTCTCAAGGGGGGGTCGGAGTTTTGAGCAAGGGGGTGTCTCCGAATACAAAATTGCTTTGAAAATGGAAAAATACGACCCCCCCTTGACCAAAATTAGGCTGTGAAAAGGTCGCGGGGGTCCGGGTGACCCTTAGGAGCCCCTAAAAGGCTCCGAAGCAGCTTGAAAAGCTATCGAAAAGGCTCTGGTGGCTTCAAAAAGCCCTGGGAAGCTCTGGGAAGCTTGGAAAAGCCTTGAAGAGCCTTGAAAAACTTGAAGCCCTGAAACCGGTGAAGGCTCGGTTTTAGAGCCCGCCCAGAACCGTCGATTTCAGTACTAAAAAATCGCACTTTTAACTGGGACCCGGGCCGATCCTGGGGTCCCCCTCATTTGGGGTGTTTTTGGAGGCAAACTTTCCCCTTCAAGGGGGGGTCGGAGTTTTGAGCAAGGGGGGTCTCCGAATACTAAATTGCTTTGAAAATGGAAAAATACGACCCCCCCTTGACCAAAATTAGGCTGTGAAAAGGTCGCGGGGGTCCGGGTGACCCTTGGGAGCCCCTAAAAGGCTCCGAAGCAGCTTGAAAAGCTCTCGAAGAGGCTCTGGGGGCTTCAAAAAAGCCCTGGGAAGCTCCGGGAAGCTTGTAGGCTCGAATTTAGGATTTAGGATTTCATGCCGGGTATGGGGTTGAAGTTTACAGGTCTGACCTTTATTAGTCCCAGTACGGGGGCTTGCCGAGGAGGAGAGGCTGCAGAGGCTTTACCCTCTGCAGTGGTGTGTCTTGACGGCTCCTGATCGTCGCGAGGCCGCTTCGCGACTAGGTCGCGCTCGCGGCCAAGACTTTAGGGTTTAGGGTTTAGGGTTTCGGGTTTAGGGCTTAGGGTTTAGGGTTTAGGGCTTCGGGCCTGCCTTCTTATACAAGGATTTCGGCTGTTGTTTGTCTTAGGTTGTTTTAGGGGTTGACGCTTCTTGTGGAGTGGCTTGTGGGGGTATTCGAGTTTAAGGGGTATTCGGTCTGAGGGATACGGGGGCTTTTGAGTGCCAGGGGGTTGGGGTCTATTCAAGGTTTACTGGGGTTTCGCGTTTAGGGTTTCGGGTTTAGGGTGCAGGACAGGAATTCGAGTCGCGGAAGTTGACACTGGGAGCGCAATGCCACAATGCAACACATCGGCCTGCTTGTCGTGGGGCATCGCTCTTGATCTAGAACAGCTCCCATTGGGAAGCTGGTCACACCGCAAACCCTGAAGCTTGAACCTCAAACCCCAAAACCTAAGCCCTAAACCCTAAATCCTAAACTCCAATCAGCTTTGCTCGCTTGCCCAGACTGGTGGCACGCTTTACATCGCCTCCTACGCCGCCTGTGGCGGCCTGGAAGGCTACCAGCTGACGCCTAACCCTAAACCCTAAACCCTAAACCCTAAACCCTAAACCCTAAACCCTAAACCCTAGACCCTAGACCCTAAACCCTAAACCCTAAACCCTAAACCCTAAACCCTAAACCCTAAACCCTAAACCCTAAACCCTAAACCCTAAACCCTGAACCCTAAACCCTGACCCCTGAACCCCTAACCCGAAACCATGGCAGGCTCTATCCTGGACTTGGGCATCCCTAAACCCTAAACTTACGCCACCCTAAACCCTAAACCCTAAGCCCCAAACCCCAAACCCTAAACCCTAAACCCCAAGCGTCACCAGACTCGAGTCGCAAGCAGCAACAAGTATTTGCACTCAACCCTCTCGCCTCTCACGTGTGTTGGGTCAGGCGCCGTCGAGCGTTCAGCGAGACCATGGCAGGCTCTGTGAGCTGCAGAGTGTCGAAGGGGTCGCCAAGCTTGGTCGGTGGCTGGATAACACTGACATGCCTCCACCACCCCCCCCCCCCCCGCCACACCTTAAAACCCCAACCGAAACCCAAAAAAACCGCAAAGCCAACGCGACCCGAAACCTTAAGTCCAAAACCATACAGTAAACACCAGCTTCCGGAGTGAGGTTACTTGATCACCATGGCCTACAGATACATCGGGGACGCCCCAACAGTGCCGAAGAGCCTGAAGCACAGCGCCGGGGCACTTCTAAGCTTGCTCACGGCCCCTCGGCCTGTGAGTGTTTAGGGGTTTAGGGTTTAGGGTTTAGGGAGCTTAGGCTTCAGGTTCATAAGGGGGTTGCGGTTTTCGGAATGTTGTGCAGAGGAGCCTCTTACGCTTCCTGAACCTCCCTCATCAGAGCATATCAGAGGCGCCAGCCCCCGCAACAGTCAGTGCTGTGAATCTCCACAGATGCCAATCCTCAGAAACATTGCTGTGTTGGGGTCGCAGTCGCTCGGCGATGGCCGGAACCATGCTACATAGGTAGTTCTTTGGCACCCAATATAGCAGGAACGCAAGGGGGCATCCAGAGAACTGTGCATATGGCTAGTCCGGCTACTGCTCTTGAGAGGGGGTTCCAGAGGCATGACCGGGCAAGTTGTCCGTCGTCGTTTGGCGCTTGCAATCAACTTGTGACATTGAAATTGATGGGGAAGCAGGAAATAACCCTCAACCCTCAACCCTCAACCCTCAACCCTCAACCCTCAACCCTCAACCCTCAACCCTAAACCCTAAACCCTAAAACCTAAACTTGCCCATACTTGGTGGTGCTTGCTGCGGTCTCCCATCGCCTTCGAATGCATCAGCAATCCCCACCAAAGAGGTGATGAAAGGCGAAAGGGCCATGGGATCTGCGCCCGTCATCTAGCAAACGGCGGTACATATGGTGGTACAAGGGCAAAACGGTGGAACCCAATGTTGTCTCGTAACCCGCTCAACCCCAAGCCTAAACCCTAAATAAGCCTAACCCCTAAACCCTAAACCCTCAACCCTAAACCCTAAACCCGAAACCCTTAACCCTAAACCCTACATCCCTTGTTCCGAAGCCCTCACCCTGGCAGCCTGAGGTCATTGTCGTCAACGTGACCAACATATTTCTTGGTGCTGCGGTCACGCGCGATCAGATTGCATGTGCAGATCCCTAGGGCGACCCTCTTGGGAAACCCCTAAACCCTAAACCCTAAACCCTAAACCCTAAACCCTAAACCCTAAACCCTAAACCCTAAACCCTAAACCCTAAACCCTAAACCCTAAACCCTAAACCCTAAACCCTAAACCCTAAACCCTGTACCCAGAAACTGTCCCGTGATCCATGTAGACTATGGGTTTAGTGATTTGGGTTCAGGTTCAGGGTTTGGGTTTAGGGTTTAGGTTTTAAGGTTTAGGGTTTAGGGTTCAGGTTCATGTGCAGATCCCCAGAACAACCCTTTTTAGAACATTCGCAAAGCAACTTTGGGTTTGGGGTTCAGGGTTCAGGTTCAGGGTTTGGGTTTCGGGTTTAGGGATTAGGGTTTAGGGCTTCGGGTTCCATGTGACAATCGGAGCTTCTCGGAATCCAAACAACTGCATGTGCCCCGCTCATCTGCAGAGATGACACGCGTGCATAGGTTTCCACCCTCACAGTGCGCTTAGGCACAATCCTGTTGCACAGCCTCATGGCAATGCATAGCTGCGCAGCCTCCCTCTTGTAAAGCCAGTGCACAGTCGTGAGACACCCTGCCACTGAGCTTTGGTCTTGAACCCGGCATCCTGTTTATCGCACGTCTAGTTTCCAACAAGCAGGGAGGTTCCCGAATTTGAGGAACCGGTTGAGGGCGGGTTTCGCACGGACACACGATTTTGCTCGTGGCTGTTGCCACGAGGTGGAGGCTGAACGCAGGGCTCTCGACAACAGGTGTGCGTATCGCTCTTTAGTTTCGGCGAGAAGGACAGCGGAAAACAAACCTGACGCCTTCCTGCCCCAAGCCTCATTTAGGGCTCAGGGCTTAGAGGCTGAGGGCTTAGGGTTTTGGGGTTTGTTAGGGCTCAGGGATCACCGCAAATTCTAAACGGGACTTTAGGGTTTAGGTGCTTTTTAACTCGCATGTTCTGCAAGGCTCCGTCTTCTGAACCCCGGAGCCCTAAACTCTCAACCGCAGAAGGGCCATCATAGAGAGAACTACCCCAAACGCCTCCGCTCCCATGCTCGTAGGTCTTTGCTGGCTAGTCTAAGGGTTATTACATGGGCCCTTAGTATGGTCCCTTACCTCCCTTTAAAGGGTTCTGAAGTATGGGCCCTTGGGTTTATAGAGGGTGTATAAGGGGCCCATACTACCCTCAGAGACTGAGCAAGTTGCGCGAGCATCTTTTGGGTTTTTAGGGTGTTCAACCCTAAGCCCAAAACCCTAATCCCCAAAACTTCAAGAGGGTGGAAGACTCGGAGCACTCACAAATCCGGCTTGTGATTTCAGCAATTAAACTCAGGATTCTTGAGCTCTTTGACCCACAAACCCACCCTCAGCCCACCCCAAACCCTCAAATCACATACCAAGGTAGCATGGTGTGTCGCAGTGGGCCCCGTAGGCTCAAGACATCGCTGCGTCGCGCAGTTCTAGAGTTTTAAACTTAGGGAACAACATGTTCCGAGCAGTGCAGAAGGCCGATGCCGCCGTCCTCCTGGGTGGCTCCCTCTCGGTGCTTGCCCTGTCGTCTTGGTGGCTTCGCAGGCTGCGGCCGAAGCAGCATCCTCTAGATCTCCACGAAGGGGACTGCTCTTGCTGCACCCAGGCAGGCTCCACGAAGCTGTGCGAGCGAGGTGTGCCTGGCCGCCTCCACTACAACTACACGCCCTGTTCTGAGGGCGTGGTGCCGGTGACTTGCAAAGATGATGGGAAGCCCATCCGAGTGCTCTTCATCCATGGCATGTGGCATGGCAGCTGGTTTTGGAGGCGCCTTCAGGACACAGCAAGAAGCACCAAGTCACAGCGAGCCTCACATGGTAGTATTAATATTAACATGAGCATTATTATGTACCAGTGTCACCATCACACTGCTGCTGCTGCTGCTGCTGCTGCTGCTGCTGCTGCTGCTGCTGCTGCTGCGCTGCTGCTGCTGCTGCTGCTGCTGCTGCTGCTGCTGCTGCTGCTGCTGCTGCTGCTGCTGCTGCTGCTGCTGCCGCTGCTGCCGCTGCTGCCGCTGCTGCCGCTGCTGCTCCTGCTCCTGCTACTGCTACTCCTAGTACGACGACGACGACGACGACGACGACGACGACGACGACGACGACGACTACTACTACTACTACTACTACTACTACTACTACTACTACTACTACTACTACTACTACTACTACTAGGCTTCACGTTCCTAGTTGATCGCAGTTATTTTTTTTGGCGGGGAGGGGGGAGGGTCCTTGAAACCTGTGAAGATGCGAAAACATCGGAGAGAACATCGGTATGTACAGCGTTTCGCGCATTCCGCATGTGTTGCGCGTTTGTCTTTTGTTTGGGAGTTCGGTTATGGGATGTTTGGACTTGCACTGCTCGAGGGCTTTGGGTCGGGGTTGAGGGCCTGGGACTTGCATGATTTTGTTGGGATGAGATTTGTTTTCAGAGTGTTAAGGTTTTGGGCTTGCATGAGGTTTCTTGGGATGAGGTTTCGAAAGCAGGGTTTTGGGTTCAAGGTTTTGGGCTTGCATGATTTTTTTTTGGGATGACGTTTAGGGTTAGGGTTTTAGGGGCTAGCTTGAGAGGTTGTTTTGGGCTTTCCCTTTTTTGAGGGGGGTCGGCTTAAACCCTAAACCCTAAACCCTAAACCCTAAACCCTAAACCCTAAACCCTAAACCCTAAACACTAAACCCTAAACCCTAAACCCTAAACCCTAAACCCTAAACCCTAAACCCTAAACCCTAGACCCTAAACCCTAAACCGCAGCTTGCGTTTCAGGGCTTGGGATTTTGGGGTCCGGTGTTCTTTTTCGGATTCAGGGTTTAGGGTTGGGATGTTCCCCCTCATACTCACAGTCCTTCATAGGGATATTTGTACCCCCTATTATGATCCCTGGTTAGGCTTTTGTTTCAGGGTTTGGGACTTTCGGGCCTGCACTGCTGTTGGGCTTTCGGGTTTAGGGTTTAGGGTTTGGGGTTTAGGGCCTTTGTGCTCTCGCAGCGCTGTGGGAATCGCCCTTCTGCGTAGCACGACACGATGGCCAAAAAAGAGGCCCCTTAACCCCTAAGTCCCTGAACCCTAAAATCCTTAACCCTTAACCCAGTCCCATAATCCCTGACCCTGAACCCTAAACCCTAAACCCGAGCATGCTTCCCTCCACAGACATCCGCCTTCAACTGCTGTCGCTCACCGTGGTCGGTTTGTGCGCAAGGATGGAACGTAACTCCCCCCCCCCTCCAAGCCAAACATTTTAGAAATGCCAGAAAGCAGCATGAAACAGCCTAAAGAGGGGAAGAACCGCAAGAAATCACTGTGATCAGTTCGGGTCGTGTCTACTACTACTCCTCCTCCTGCTACTACTACTGCTACTACTCCTACTACTACCACTACCACTACCACTGCCACTACCACTGCCACTGCCACGGCCACTACCACTACCACTACCGCTGCCACTACTCTAAACCCTAAACCCTAAACCCTAAACCCTAAACCCTAAACCCTAAACCCTAAACCCTAAACCCTAAACCCTGTCATTTTCAGGACATGCTTGCCGCTGCGGGATTCGGCTCCTTCGCTCTGCACCTGCGGTCAGGTCGCAGCCAGCGCACCCGAAGCCACCTCGACGACATCGAGGGCACGCTGGAAGACTTGGCTTCTTGGGATCCACTCTGATGAAGGGGGTTTAGGGTTTAGGGTTTAGGGTTTAGGGTTTAGGGTTTAGGGTTTAGGGTTTAGGGTTGAGGGTTCCGCAGAAAGGGGGTACCTTATGGGGGTCCTTGCTACAAGGGAATCCTACTAGTTGCAGCTCTATTAATAGGGATCCCGGACTTAAAAAACTACATTGAAATAAGGCTCTATGGGCCCTCATCTTGTAGATCCCCCCTATGCCCATATAGACATGTTGCCCCCCGAATATCCGCCCCCAGGCCAAGCTACACGGGGAGAGCCACATCGTGGTCGTTGGGCACAGCCAAGGAGGGATCCTTTGTCATAGTTGGGTAACATTTTACATTCTTAAGGGTAACCCAATAAGGAACAAACAATTAGATTTTTGATGCTATCCCAACCATGAACTAGGATCCTGTCCCAGTACCTCGTCCGCGATGCCAGCGCGGTGGCGGAGCGGTTCGCTGGGGCAGTTTTCGCAGGCACTGTGCCCGCATCCCAATTCTGGGAGCTGGTCAAGATGATGCCCGTGGCCATGCCACGTGGGTGCAAGTGAATGGTACCTAAACCCAAAACCGTTCAACCCGAAACCCTAGAACCGTAAACCCTATAAGCCCTAAACCCTTAGCCCCGCAAGAAGAGCCGAGGCAACTCGTAAAGGACATGGAGATCATATGGTAGTCTTCCCTAAACCCTAAACCCTAAATCCCACAAGAACCCGAGGCAACTCGTCAAGGACATGGAGATCATATCCATTTTTCATGGTCTGGGTCTGGTCGGTACGGCCTACTACCAGCTGACGGGCAGCCTGTGGTCAAGCTGGTGCATGAGGCAGTTTGGGAATGCATTCTGAAACCCTTGCACCCTAAACCCTAAACCCTCAAGCCCCTGTAACTTGAAATTATTAAGGAAAATAATCCAAAACAGAAACTCCTCGAAACTTTCCCCGGACCTGAACCCAATAATTTCAATAAACCCCAAACGAGCTAAGACTCACTGGGGTCCAGAGTGTCGAGCGTTCTGATAGTCTCCCTCGCTGCTCCGCCCAGGTTCAAAACCTAAAACCCCGTTTCCTAAACCCCAAATCCTAAACCCTAAACCCTAAACCCTAAACCGCAAACCCGAAACCCAAAACCCAAAAACCAAAACCCGAAACCCTCAACCCTAATTAAAGGCTAGTCATGGAAAGCCCTTGGGGGAGGTGATCGTGTAGGGGTTCGGGATTCCCAAGCGACGCTCCCCCAACCTTCTTGAGGGCTTAAAGATGTTTAGGGTTCAGGGTTTAGGGTTTAGGGTGTAGGGTTTAGGGTTGTGGCAAGGTTGCACAGGGGTCCTTCTATAAGGGGTTCTATGAAAGAGGTCCAAGAAACAAGGTGCCTGTCAAAGGGGGCCTAGTTGCTAATTTCGAGTGGTGTTGTCTTTTCTTGTGTATCCTAAACCGTATACCCTAAACCCTGAACCCTAAGCCCTAAGCCCGGCATCGGATGCCAGGGCCGAAGCCACCCCGAGCATTGATAGCGGTAGCCGTCATAATCCCCATCCTCAGAGGTTTAGGGTTCAGGGTTTAGGGGTAAGGGTTTAGGCTTTAGGGCTTTGGGTTTAGGGCTTATTCCCATAAGCCCGACATCAAAGCCTGAAACGCCCTTCCTTCCGAAGAGGCAGCAGGAGATCCCAAGAAGAGCCATCGACCCTGTCCTTGGTTCCGTTTTGAAACTTCTAGAGTAGAAGCCCCTCATAGGAGTTTGATCATAGTAGAAATCTTCTCAGTCAGGGTCCCTTATATAAGCGGTGTGCTTTTGAGGGGAAGGGGATCAAGGGTCAGGACCTACGTCACCGAGAGAGAGAGAGCGAGAGAGAGAAAGGCGGATCTTCTTCCTTCCCTCTGGTCCGCAGAACACCACTGTCACTGCTGGTGGCATGGATGAGTATGTTCAGCGGACGGTGATGCTAAACCTGCTTTGAACAGTGCTTCTGCTTTGTCTGTTGGGTTCTGGGGGTCATGAAGTCTGACCATACAACCCTAAACCCCCAACCCTAAACCTTAAACCCTAAACCCAAAAGGGGAGTCTAAAGAAGAGCTGAGGATGGAGGCACGCGCGGATGGCTTGCCCACGTACGCGCACTACTTCGATCGAGCCCACTCCTTTGCCAAGATCAACCGCAAGCCTGTCCTCATCCTGGCAGCTGAGCGTGACATCATCTACCCACCACCTACCATGAACCCGATATTTCTGAAGCAGTTTCCCAAGGCTGACTGCATTGTGGCCAAAGGCCAGGCGCATTGCTTTGCTGATGCCGGCTGGGAAGACTCTTTTGGGCAAGCACTGGTCAACTGGCTTTCCCAGCACTTTAAGCCATGAGTTGCAAGATTGCACGAGCTACCGGATTCCCATTGGTTTCTGTGGTGTTTTAAAGTCGACCCGGGGGGGGGGGGGGAAAGCGATGTCAACATGTTATCTTGGATTAGTTAGCCTGTAACCTTTTGGGGTATTAGAATCCCTATATAATCCCAAAAGTTAACCTTTAGTTCTCCAACGATGCTGGACAACCAAGTGTCAGGCTGGTTTCTGTTTCAACTCTTGGTATGGAGGTTTGGAAGAGTGTTCGAGTCGCGAACCTGTTTTGCAGGGTGAACCACCAACCCTACACCCCAAACCCTAAACCCTAAACCCCAAACCCTAAACCCCAAACCCTAAACCCCAACCCGAAACCCGAAACCCGAAACCCGAAACCCGAAACCCGAAACCCGAAACCCCAAACCCCAAACCCCAAACCCCAAGCCCCAAACCCTAAACCCCCAACCCCAAACCCTAGACCCAAACCCTAAACCCCTAACCCCAAACCCTAGACCCCAACTCCGAAGTCTTGGGCGCCGCGCTGCTCGTTGCTTAGGCTGCCGTAGGTTTGCGAAACCCAGAAACCCAACCTGAAAGCCTTCTCTGGAATGCTCAGCCCCCGGACCCCTACAGTGTAAACCCCAAAAGCCCTAAACCTCTCAACCTTCAACCCTAAGCCCTAAACCCTACCAAAATCCTCAACCCCTCAACCCCGAAGCCCTCAAAACCCTAAGAGACCCTAAGAGACCAAGCCCTCCCGAAACCCGAAACCCTAAACCCCAAACCCTAAACCCTAAACCTTAAACACCGCAAGCCCTAAACCCCAGCAGCATGAAGTTTGTGCGCCGCGCCTGTGTCCTCTTCTCCCTGGCGGCCGCGCTAAGGGACCGCCGAGAGGCGATGTGGGTTTCAATTAGGGTTTAGGGTTTAGGCTTTAGGGTTTAGCTCTGTGGGTGTCCAGGGTTTAGGCCGTTTAGGCTTCAGGGGTGAGGGTATATAGGGCCAATGTTACACCTTAAACCCTAAACCCTAAACCCTAAACCCTAAACCCTAAACCCTCAAACCTAAACCCTAAGCCCTAAGCCCTATTTAACCCCAAAGCCCTAAGCTCTAAACCCTAAACCCTAAACCCTAAACCCTAAACCCTAAACCCTAAACCCTAAACCCTAAACCCTAAACCCTAAACCCTAAACCCTATAGCTCTGTGAGGTGGGTCTTTCGCGCAGCCGGCAAGTTCTGGTGTCAATACGGCGAGCTGTAACTCCATCCCCGGAGGAGGCTTGGGATTTAGGGTATGGTTTAGGGTATAGGGTTTAGGGTTTGGGGTTTGGGGTATGGGGTTTGGGATTGGGGTTTGGGGTTTGGGGTTTAGGGTTTAGGGTTTCAGCACTACTGGTATGAGGGCTTTTCGGCTTTTGGGGTTTTGGTAGGGTGTAGGGTGTAGGGTGTAGGGTGTAGGGTTTAGGGTTTAGGGTTTAGGGTTTAGGGTTGAGTTTGGAAGTTCGGTCTTGGAGATTTAGGGACTTGGGGATCCGAAAGATGTAGGGTTTTAGGCCTTCAAAGCCCAAAGCCCAGCACCTTAAGCCCTAAGCCCTAAGCCCTAAGCCCTAAACCCCAAACCCTAAACCCTAAACCCCAAACCCTAAACCCTAAACCCTAAACCCCAAACCCAAGAATCTTAAAACCCAAGCCCGAACTTGATCCCCACACCCTGCTCCAAGCCTCAAAGCCTGGACTGCGTACCCCCAGCCTTTCAACCCCAACCTGAGCCTTTTCTTCATCCGTTACATACTTTTGATTTTCATCTGGGTTTTGAGGGTTTATCTCTTCATGGCTTTTGGGATTCAAGCTTGGGATTACTGCTTCGGGCTTCGGATGGGTTTTGAGAGCCTTTGGGGGGAAGAGAGATGGGGTCTTCTGATTGCAGCATGCAGGATGGTGACGACGAGAAGCCAAACGGAGATGCCGTGCCTATGCTCGACGATGCCCAGGCCCGCACCCAGGGTTTAGGGTTTAGGGTTTAGGGTTTAGGGTAAACGTGAAGCCCTACACCCCAAACCCTCCCGCCCCCAGGCACGTGCTGGGGAACCTTCGGCCCTCCATGACTCATTCCGGCCCTAGGTTTTTTTTTTTCAGAAGTGCTCCAAAATCTCCATTTCCCTACCCGCCAGTGGGCAAGCCCCTAAAGCTCGAGCTCCTAAACCTACACCTTGGGATGTTCCCTTTATACGAACAGTCCTTAAGAGGGATTATACAAGAGGGGGTTACTGTAATCCCTACTACAGACTGTTCATATAAGGGGGGAGCATCCCAACCTGCACCCCCCCAAGATCATGCTTATCCGCTCCCCGGCGCAGGGCGCATGGCGCATGGCCAAGAGTGTGGCGCAGGGCCTCCTCAGTGACGTGCAGCGGAGGTGCGCGGAGATGGCCTGGAGTCCCTTCACTTGAGGAACGCCTCTAAGAAGACCTTAAGCCCTAAACCCAAAGCCCTAGACCCTAAACCCTAAACCCTAAACCCTAAACCCTAAACCCTAAACCCTACACCCTAAACAGCAGAGGGGAGGGTCTCGGGCTTTAAGTTTCGTCCGGCCCGGTTACCATGTGCGGAGTGTCTCGTCGCCCGGCCACCCCAACCCCGACTGATCCTAAACCCTAAGCGTTAAACCCTAGGGTTTAGGGTTTCGGGCTTTTAAGGGTTTAGGTTTAGGGTTTAGGGTTTGGGGTTTGGGGTTAGGGTTTAGGGTTTCGGGTTTAAGGTTTGGGGTTTAGGGTTTAGGTTTTGGGGTTTGGGGTTCAGGGTTTGGGGTTAAGGGTTTGGGGTTTTGGGGTTTGGGGTTTTTTGGGGTAACAGCCCCCAACCCCAAACCCGCAGAAGCAAACCCCCCCCCCCCCAATAGGTGTCGCTCGGACAAAGCCTGGAAGAACATCAAGGGCATGGATGCAATCTGCCTCGAGGCCTGTGGACCATCACCTGGGGTTTAGGGTTTAGGGTATAGGGTCCCCCCCCCCCCCCCCCCCCCCCCCTTTCAGCCCCCAAATGGAGCATCCCCAGACCCTAAACTGCAAAGTTCAAACCCTAAAGCCCTAAACCCGAAACCCCCCAAACCGCAAACCCTCAACCTTTGCACTGGTGGCCTCCCGCCTAAGCCCTAAGAAGCCCAAATCCACACGGAAGCCCCCTTCCCAACGTTTTTGGGTTTCGGGCTGAGGGTTCAAGGATTGTTTGTTTCGGGGGGGAGGGCGGGGGGGTTCGGGCTTAGAGCCTAGAATTTTAAGTTTCAGTTTGAGGGTTTGTGAGGTTGTTTTTTAGCGGGGAGGTTCAGGGTTTATTGGGTTTACGGTTTAGGCGGTGTAGGAGGTTCGGGGCCTTCGGGGGCTACTGAACGGTTCAGGGTTTTGAGCGCAAGGTGGATGCTGTCGGTCTGCTCAGACGTCTGCGCGACGCGGACTCGACGGAAATCGCCTCTTGACTCATTGACGACCTCCCTGTTCAGGTTCAAGGTGAAGGGGCCCTTAATCTTATTCCCCTATTTAAACTCTTCTTATGTCTTATACCCATATAGTCCCTATATACCTAAGAAGCCCCCACATTAAACCTAAGCTTCAGTCCGTTGAGTTCAGGGTTCAAGGTGAAGGCTTTTTGGTTCAGCAGGGGATCAGGGTTTTCGTGTTTATGAGGTTTTAGGGTTCAAGGTTTAGGGCTTCGGGGTTTAGGGTTTTGGTGTCTGCTTGGGGCCGGGTCCCTGAAGAGGAGCTGAAGAAAAAGCAAAGCAAATGTGCACACAGGGGAGGGCCTAGAGTTTAGGGTTAGGGTTTAGGGTTTAGGGTTTAGGGTTTAGGGTTTAGGGTTTAGGGTTTAGGGTTTAGGGTTTAGGGCTTAGGGCTTAGGGCTTAGGGTTTAGGGTTTTTGGTCTAGGGTTTCTCTGCACCCTTTCCGGCTCTGCCGGCTCCACTCTAGGACTTGTGAAATAGTATTCTCTAGTACTTGGCATATTCCCCCTTACACTGACAGTCCTTGATGGGGACTATAAGGGGTCCTATAATCCCAATTAAGTACTGATAGAACAAAGGGGGAACATCCAAATCTATGACGCTCCCCTTCTAGTTTAAAACAGGCCGCAGAACAGGCCGCAGCGACCCAAGGCAATAGGAATTGTTCATGAAACAATTTCTTGGGCGAGGTTTCCGGCCCAAGAAGTTCTCCACCAACCCGCCGTTCTTTAGAACTACAATCCCAACACGTAGTCCCAAACCTTAGACCCGAAACCCGAAACCCGAAACCCGAAACCCGAAACCCGAAACCCGAAACCCGAAACCCTAAACCCTAAACCCCAAACCCTAAACCCTAAACCCTAAACCCTATCCCAAGATGCTATGCCCTGCACCCGAAACCCTAATCAGGCCCTGGACCTGTAAAAACCCCTAGCAGCAAGCTTTCGGGCTTGAACCCTAAACCCCAAACCCCAAACCCCAAACCCTAAACCCTAAACCCTAAACCCTAAACCCTAAACCCTAAACCTTAAACCCTAAACCCCAAACCCTGAACCATCCCCAAGTCCCTAGGGACCCCCAAATGTCCTGGAGCTGAGTTCGAGTCGCTCTGCGCTGCCGCGGACGCGGCCGCAGATCTTGCGACTCATTTGCGAGGTTCAGGGTTTAGGGTTTAGGGTTTAGGGTTGAGGGTTTAGGGGGTTTAGGGTGGTGTAGGGTGTAGGGTTTAGGGTGTAGGGTGTAGGGTTTAGGGTTTAGGGTGTAGGGTTTCCAGTTTCAGGGTCTAGGGTAGGGGTCAGGGTTTGGGTTTTGGGTTCAGGGTTCGAGGGTTTGAGGGTTTCAGGGTTTTAGGGTTTCCAGGGTTTCAGTCTTTTAGGGTTTCAGGGTTCCAGGGTTTAGGTTTTCAGGGTTCAGGGTTTCACCTTTTTCAGGGTTTCCAGGGTTTCAGTTTCAGGGTCTTACGGTTTGAGGGTTTTCGGGATTTAGGGTTTAGGCTCGAAGGTTTTAGGGTTTTAGGGTTTAGGGCTTTAA